AACAGAAAAAAGCCCTGGAAGGTTGTAATTCTTGGGGTAGCTCCCAAGTGGGGTAGCCCCTAGAACTGTTTGGTCCAAAACAGCCTAAAGTTCATCAAAATGGCGTTCTAAGAACTGTCGTTCTCAGTTCCTACGGTGCAGGCGCACAAAAAAGTAGGGTCTTTGTCCAACAGTTCTAATAACAATGAAGAAGTTCCTCTAGTCCATGCGTAATGTATCAGACTGTGGATCGGAAATTTTTCGGCCTGTAGAGGCTACTGTGGATTGCAAAAGTGAGAAGCACTCAGAGGAACGAAGTACTCCATTTCCGCTTTAATGTTTTTAAGATAAAGTAAAGTCTGAGTACTAGTATATGGCTTATCCTGTCTTTCTTCTTGCTGTTGTGATTGGAATGGAGAGATAGGAGAGGATGAGCGGAGCAGTGTGAAGATACAACATAGGGGAGAAGAGGATGTGTGTCCTGAGTCAATTGAAAAGCTGTCAAGGTCCAGGTGCATACAAGCTACAGATAAGAGGCATATCTGTGTCTTTAGCTGTTTTCCTCTTCACCTCTCCTACCCTCTTTTTCCCCTGCTATCATTTTTCTTCATGGGTTTACCTCACCATTGCACCAGTATTAATGAAGCTGATAATGGTAAGGCAGTTTGTTCAGGTATTCTGGTCTTCTAACATGTCAAATGCCATTTCCTGCCTCAGTAGATAAAAATGGACCTGTTTACATCAAAGTCTCTTGTTCTTCCTGTTGAGCATTGATGTTCTCAGGGACAATGAGAATGAGTTTTGTTCTGTCTTCATCAGTTTTTGGAATATTGCAAAACAGTGCTAAATATTTACAGCTCTCTGACTTGGATTAAATGGGAATGTTAGTTCAAAGAGTAGTTTGACATTGTTAGTCTGTTTCTTGCCAAGGGGTTGTTATGTGTGTTTCTTTGCACTTGATATAACGCTAGCAAATGATTTGACTTCATTCAGAAAGAGGTTAATAAAACAAAATACAGTATAATCACGATTTACTGATCATCTGGATAAAAATCACAAGCTACCTAGCACTACTTCAAATTATAAGCAGATAAGGTAGTTAAAATTAGCTCTGCCTTTACCAGCTGCAACTTTAAATGTGATGTACACAGTAATACATCAATAATTATAATCAAATAATATGATGTATATAAATGTAAATTGTGCAATTTTTCATGATGAGTACTTTTACTTTTTGTACTTTAAGTATATTTTCTGCTAATGCTTTTGTACTTTCACTTAAGTAACATTTTGAGTGCAAGACTTTTTACACTGTAGTGTTGCTGCATTTACTTAAGTAAACAATCGGAGTACCTCTTCCACCACCACTTAAGTAACATTTTGAGTGCAAGACCTTTTACACTGTAGTGTTGCTGCTTTTACTTAAGTAAACAGTCGGAGTACCTCTTCCACCAGTTCAAACAACATATCAAATGCTATGTTAATCCTGGCAGTGTAAGCTGTATATGTGCAGCCTCAGAAACATGGAGTACCTGGATGTTAAGATGTCTTCTAGCACAACATATTTATTTTTGTGTGGAAAGCAAGTGGCTATACATTAAGCAGAGACAGTTCATGAGAAATGACTGCCAGAGGTCAAAAGTTCATTAACCTTGTTACCATGTTTGGATTCCCCCCATTTCCCACAAAATGCGACTTTATAGCTATATAGAAAAGTAGGAGAGAGAATCATGGAGGTAGTCAGCTATTGCTGTCTGGACTGCAGTTAAGGAATTTTGTGGAAGAAGTATTTTTCTTCATCTAATTTTAAAGCTATCTTGACATTGTTTGACATAGCTGACATAATTGTTTCACGTTGACATTGACACTGAAAGGCAGTGTGGCTAAAAACAAGAGCTACGCAAAAAATTTTCGATACCTCGAATATATGCCAAGTACGCTGGCTCACAAGCAAGATGTTTCAGACTTTTACATACATTCAATCTTGGATTTTATCTTTTTCCTTATTTCTGTGAGAGGTTAACAAGATTTTCTAATTAGTTGCTCAAAGCAATGTAGTGATACCAGTACTTTAAAGTTGACAGGATAGAAATAAAATAATGCAAAGGACAAACCTCGTGTCATATGTATTGGCAAAGCCATTAAGAAAAACACAAGGAATATCAATCTAACTCAGAGAGAAGCATGGCTTAAGGGCGATAAAACCATCTTTCTTATCAGTCTTGTGGCTGTGCTAGAGGCTTTTGTAGTTGGTGGTGTGTTTCTGTGTCTTTTCCATTTTCCAATTTCTCTCCTTTCAGTTCTTTCTCTGTCTTTGTCTTGGTAAGCCTGTCTGCGTGGTCCACAAGTCTGAGGCCTCTGTGTTCCACCCGCCTCCGCCTTCGCTGTCGGAGATTAAAATTAATGGGCAGCACCATTAATTAAGCAACTAATCTTACTGTTTATGTTTTGTCATATTTACCGCTCACAGATGCGTAGAGAACTCCAGTAAAAACGACTGCTCCCACACACATTAAAAATCCTTTTGCAGCCCGCACACGTTAAACAACAACACCCTCCCCACATGCCTCGACGGCCTGTCAGGGATGCTGTTTTACTTGGTTCCAGCCAAAAAAAAACATGGCCTCTCCCATTCTCTTTCTTTTTATTTATTTAATTTTGTAAGTGGCTCAGTTAATATTGTGGATTTAAAACCACACCTTCAGTTTGGTGTAGCATGTGGCCAGAGCTTCAGCGTTTGCTGCGGCTGAACCAATTTTCTGCTTCAAGCGCCTTTAATAAACAACACGGCACTATCAGGAGGCTTTGGCTTCCCTGATGAAGGCCATTTATTTCAAATTAAAGGAGAGTTCCTTATCTTCGCTGGCCTCACACAGTGAGAGAGATAAAACGGCTTGCTTTGGTGTCATCCTTTCTGTGTTGTTAATGTGCTGAGAGAAAAGAAGGGAGTGTGTGAGGGAGACTGAGTTGGATTGAAGACAGAGACAAAACGCTGAACATGACAGATTAAACAGGCAAAATAAACCATTAGAGGTTGTGTATCAGAATAATCTTCTAGGCGGTCATCTTTTTAAAATGGTCTTGTGAGAGAACACCAGTGAATGCTTCTTTCCTTCCCTTTCAACTTTTTATCTCCCTTCATTTATGTATTTCTTTGTCTCCATTCATTTTCCTCTTAAATCTCTATCGCCTGTGATCAAATAAACTCAGTATTTGCCTCCATGACAGTGTTGCTGATGATAAAGTGTGTGTGTGTGTGTGTGTCTGTATGGATATGGATATGCTGTAATTGAAATGCTGGGGTCAGCTCTGCTCCACAAATCAAAGCCAAAAAGAGCCTTTAATTTGTCTTTCAATTAAATCTGGTGGTAAATACTCCCCACTGAGAAAGCGTGTCTGCTGGAGCACTGTGTAGACGAGACTAATGTGTCAGCATGCAGGGAAATGTGTGGGTGTGTACATTTGTGCTTTTCTATACCTGCGTGGGTGTACATAACTTTCTTGTCTTTGCTTCAGTCAGTCAGAATCCATTACAGGAAGGCAGCAAGTCTGTCATAGTTAACAGTCACACAGAAAGACAGGCAAAGCCCGTTTATAACACTGCCCACGTATCAAATTAAGCACAACTAATTCAGCCTCTCAAAGCACACTTTTCTGCTGTATTTGATCAGAATGATCCTACCCACGCAATTAAATGTGATTTTTCCCTAATTGCATGACTTGCAATTAAGCACGTAGTATGCACACCATAGGTTGTTAAACAGGTTGCAGTGGGTGTAGATGTTAATTGTTTTTCATCTCTGTCAAGCCTTTTTTTTTTCTTTTTTTTTCACTTTTCTATTATTTGGTTGTGGCATAGACAAGCATGAAGCTGGGGAACACTGTGAACAGTACTAGCAACACACAACATCTCAAGGTGATGAACAAAGAAAGACTCTCTGGTCAGTCTCTGGTGATGGTTAGACAAATGTAATTATTCTGGATCCAGGAAGCAGACTCTACATATGAGAAACATTATAGAATGTGGTTAACCACTCCTTACACCACCCGCCTTTGATACCAAACTGCAATCAGTACAAGGTCAGTTATGTCTTCTCTTCTTAGCAAATTCTTGGAGAAACAGTTTACAATAAGTCTGTCTTCAGACTCTGAGACACTGTGATCTCCACAATTAGACAAAGATTATAGTGACCCTTATATGTTATTATAATTATTAAGTGATTTAAAATGGGGGCAGCATGGTGGCACAGTGGTTAGCACTATTGCCTCACAGCAAGAAGGTTGTGGGTTCGCGACCTTTCTGTGCTGAGTTTGCGTGTTCTCCCCCTGCTTGCGTGGGTTCTCTCCGGGTACTCCGGCTTCCACCCACAGTCCAAAGACATGCAGCTTAGGTTGATTGGTAACTCTAAATTGCCCGTAGGAATGTGCGTGTGAGTGGATGTTCATCTGCATGTTGGCCCTGTGATGGACTGGCGACCTGTCCAGGGTGTACACCGCCTTTTGCCCGATTGCCGGCTGGGATTGGCTCCAGCCTACCCCCCACCCCGTGACCCTGTTTGGGACTGAGCAGTATAGAGGATGAATGATTTATAATAATTCATGTATTTTTCAATAAATACAGTGACAAAACTTTTACATTGGATGTGATTATTCATGTTGCCATTTTTGCCCTTGTAAAAAGAGGCTTGTAATCTTGATGGGACTTCCTGGTTAAATAAAATAAATAATTCATTTTTAAGTTGGTTTTGTCAATATTGATTGTCATTTTTATTTGACTTTGTTTTGTTTTTGTAGTTTAATCTGCTTTTAGTCTACTAAAACCTAGTGAATTTTTTGTCTTAGTTTTTGTTAGACATTGGTAATGCTGCCGTCATCTTTGTTGTGTACAATTACCACGGTTACCATGGTTGCCGTTTCCAATAAACCTGCGATCTGCAATTATGTAACTACATAACATCACTATTTTCTTACAATTTGTTCCTAATTACATCTATCTGTATCTCTTTGTTTGCCTTTTCTAGGTCTCGCAATACAGACCCAGTGTGTTCTGGCCTGCAGGCTCAGATTTTATCTTGCTACAGGGAGAATGGCCACCAGACCCTAAGGTGTTCAGACCTTGCCAAAGAATACATGCAGTGTATAAGTGCTGCAAAGAAGGTAAGAGTTTCTTTCACATCTAGATTTGTAATATCAGGCAAGATCCACGGGTTTAATATGTCTCGAACAAAAGTATTATCACACATTGAAATTATTTTGTCAGCATTCCCATTAAGTTGGAAAAAGTAATCTTTGATCATACCTTAATTAAGAAGATTGCTTTCTAAAGCCATGTCAATACTAGCTTTGTACCAAAAATAATAAAAGAATGTTGCTAATAACATCATATTGTACTTCACATGTCCCTCCACAAAGCAACGATATGGGGAATTTTGGGGCCAGTCCATCTGAATGGTGGCTTTTGATGTTCTCCATGGAGCGATGTGTTCAGAGCAGCGCTCTATCTGATGTAAAAGAAAGACATTCTTTTTCCCCTTCACAGTCAAAGATTATTCTTGGACAGTTGAGGGAAAACAAAACTGATTGGCAGGATTTTGAGTGCTGTCACTTCAGGTTTTTACACAGAAAAAAAGTCTTGTCTTTAAAAACAGCTTGAAGAGTTTGATGTAAAAGTACATAATCCAAGTTCTCCTTCACTACCAAACTTGTTTTCTTACTGAGACTAAAATTAACACCTTTTCAAAGCTAAACACAGTTTCAGTTGCTATATGACTTCATTCGCAAATGTATTCTCTCAATAAACCATGCACTCAGTCACATTAAAATTGCCTTTGATATATATATTCTAGAGGTGGTTAGTAAAGAATATGCAGCAATTATCTCTGCAGTCTGATCACTGAATTCTTGGAGAGTGAGCAGAACACACTGTAAACTGTGTTTGACTATAAGTCAGATTAATATTGTCTGTTTAAAGATTTTTATATTTATTTGCATATATTTTTAGAATTTCTTTCTCCCAATCCATCGTAGCAGCAAAGGGGAGGACATACTTTGTTATGTTTATGACATGCATAAGACATATATTTACAGTATCTCTGTCTTTTCAGCTCTGAAGTGATAATTCACCTCTATAGTGTTGCAGTGCTGTTTAACCTTATTTGAGACTAGAACTTCCTAATTATCAATTATGCAGTGTTCTTACATTAAGCTTTGTCATTTAGTGGAAAGTGATGAGAAAGACAGATGCTGGCAAATGTGGAGCACCAACACTGGCAAAAAAGAAATCTGAAAATAGCACGGAATATGTCAAAAACTAATGCAGTTTGTTAACTAATTAATAATCAGTGTAGAAATAAATATGGGGTTTTCTTTATTTAGCTTCCAATTAGTTGTTAAAAAGAAAATAAAAAGATTTTCCCCTTAATTGTGCTTCCAATATCTGGATTAAATAAATGTATACTTAATTTTATATATTATATTCTTCTTTTCTGTTAATTTTCCTTCTCATTATACTTTCCAGTTTCTATGTTTTATTTGTGGTCTTAATCATCAACCTATTGTGTATTTTCGCCCACTGAAAGTCGAAAACAGTAGGAAAATTAAGGAGATGATAATAACAGGAGCTAGATAAAGAAGAATAGAAGTGTAAAAAAGAATAAAGTTTTAATCTATTTTAGCAAGTTATTTGAGGTAAAAGTGAAGCTTTAAACCATTATATTTTCTTTTACACTCAATTTTAATTTTATAACTATTACCACTAATAATTGTTAATGCATTACTTAATATTTTGACTTTGTTTTATAATCTGATCTTTTGCTTCATCGGGCCATTTGGATTGTGAAATTTTATCACGGTGGTGGTGGATTTATACAGTTTTCTGTAGAGACATAAATTAAGAGATGTAATTTGGTCTTCATCTTTGCCTTTGAGCAATTAACTCAGTTTGACTGTTTTGAGCAAAGAGGGCTTGTCTTTTTCTCTTTGGCACTTTCTTGTTTTTGATTCACAGGGAAGATCAGACAGGAAGCACTACTTACGCATGCACTCAGTAAAATGTAGCCTTTGTACTTTACTTTTCAGTATTCCCCGTTTCTTAATTGGCCCTACTGCAGTATTATTCAAAAGCAAAGAGAAGTCCCTCAAGTATGTGCATAACTGCAGCCGTTTTAAGTTACAAATCCACAGGCAAGTTAGCGAGAAAATTGTGAGGAGGAAGAGGGAAAGTTGGAGGACAGAATACAAGAATCCAAAGTTTGTACAGTAGAAAGTAGTACAGTCTGAAAGTAGAGCTGTTCATCACACACCCGACCTATTACTCTTTGCTTACGTCTCCTCTAAGGGGCAGTGGGGGCTCCCCTTGGCATACAGTAATGCAGCATGTGATGATCAGCTTGCTGAAACTCGATTCCTCTGCTCTTGTACTAATGTAACGTGCGCACGGCTGCCTGTACGTGTGTGCACTGTCAATAGCATCTGAACCTTTGTATCTGCCCTGTATTACACCATGCAGACACAGACACACTCTCGTATACAAACAGTTGAACTTGTGTTTGTGTTCTTGTATTTTGACACTTAAAAGAACCAAATGTCCTTACAAGGCTTGGCGTAGTGTGTGTGTCTGGGTGTGTATGTATGTTTCTTTCTCATATTAGCTGGTGTGAGATAACGAGGAGTGAAGTGAAGACTCTTTGAAGACTATCTTTAAAAGAGCCTGGCAGATCATACACAGTGTGTGTGTGTCTGTGTGTGTGAATATCTCGCTACATTGCTGTCTGCTTTAACCTACACATCAAGGTCTTTTCTCTTGATTGGCCCCCAAGGCATCTCCCTAACTTTCACCCCTTCAGTCTGAAAGTTTATAAAGTTCTTCCTCCATTTTGTGTCTTTAAAAACTGTCACAGTTAGTTTGGTTATCCATGACAACTTTTTTTCCTGTAGATTACATGCTGCATAGGCTGTAAACAACGTAGGATGTACAAGATGGCCTAAAACACTGTGACATAACCATTAATAGCATTGCCAGCCATCAAACCGTTTTGCACAAATCTAGTATTAGGCAGTTAATAGTAATTAATACAATAATAGTTTGTCTTTTCTGGGTCCACTCGCCCCAGCAGAAGTTTTTTCATTTGAAAGAAATTGCCATAGTCTGAGGAGTCACTCGAGGGCTATGTTGGTCCTGGTGACCTTTGACATAAACAGGTATGAGGTATCATATCTAATTTTTAAGTAGACCTAATTATCAACAGTTGTGGTTTTTATATGCCAGCACTGATAAACTATCAAGTCACAACAAAGTTTATGTACTTTGTGTCTAACGGGTCCCTTATTGATGCTGTCTAACTTCAGCCATTAAGGAAACATAAAAAAGCCCTGGCTACTTAATAAATATAAAATAACGATGATAAAGATGCTTAAAGAAATTCTCTGAGCTGTGGGCCCAGAGAAACTGTTTCATTTCTGTTTTCTGCTTATTTACAACTTGATGAATAATGTCTTCTGTGTTGTGGCTGCAAGTTTCAGTCCTGCTTATTTTGTCAGTTCAAGTTAAGAACAAAGAAACACCGACAGGAGAAAAACTTTGCATCACTGAGCTATGAGTGAAAAAAGAACTTAATTGGTATTGCATTTAGTCCAGTTTTAGCTTTGTTTTTTTTGTTTTTTTTTATTACAAAGTCTTACAGAAGTGAACGTGATGTGCTCTGATCAGTGTCACAGCGGGTCAGTCGGCAAGCCTGCATGTCACAGACATCTTCCAGCTGAGGTACATTATCATCTTTATGCATTTGTGTGTGTACATACGTGTGTGTCTGGTGGCCAGTGAGGGAAGGATTCCACGGAGCCTGCAGACACACAGCAGACAACCTTGAGTCATTATTCTCTGTGAGCCTGAGCCCGACATGGGCAGTGCTACATGAAACATACAGACACTGACCAGACACTCAGTGGGATTCTCTAGTCATTTATCTGCACTCTTAGATGTGAATACATACATTACACAATACACATGCACACACGGTCTGTACACCTGGTGAGATTCGCAAGTCATTTAGCTCCAGTCTCAGAGAGAGAGAGACTGGCTGTGTTACTGATCAATGTCTCTGCTCACAGTGGAGAGAGGAGAGAAATCTTTGAGAGCTGTTCCTTTCAGTAGCCTATGTGAACAACACAGGTTAATGTCTGTTAACAAAGATAATATTGTCTGCTGATTGTCTGAAAGCACACCACTATCCCAATATCTTTTTACATGGTGGTCGGAAGCAGGTGAGCCTTATATTTCAGTGGCCATGTGGCCCTAAATTTAACGGTGGTGGAATTTCCAACAAATGTTCACACTCTGGGTGTCTTGAAATGTCGATGAAATAAAAAAATCTCATTTAAAAGAAAAAAAATCTTTCATTATTTCACATTTTCATCTCAAATAACCACAGAAAACTGTTTAAAAGAAAAATAAAATCTGCAGGCTCCATTTGGGCCTGCTGAGCACAGATCTGTGTGTAGCTATGGCCGGGTTGGGTTCTGGCCAGCTACAAGTTGAGACCTCAGAAACTGTAAATGCTGTTACTTTCCCCTTCAGTAAGACCAACTACTGAGGTGCACACACTCAACACGCATGTCTTCTGAGCCTTGCTGAGGAGTACAGACAAAGCAGGCTTTGGGTCTAATATCCAGGGAGTCACTTCTAAATTTAAAAGCTGCCCGTCAGACTGAAGAGAGAGAGAGAGAAACAGGGAGACGAGAGTGGGGTAGAATGAGAGACTGGAGTAAAACTTAAAGCAAAAAACTAGAGAGTGCTGAGGGACAGCAGAATGATTGAGAAAGAGATTTGGGAACACCCCTGTTCCTGTGTACCTGGATAGTTTCTTCTGTTTATATACTGTACATGCAGACAGTCTCTCTAGTTGCCTTTTTCCTTGTCATGTTATCATTGTTTTCAAGTGCATCTTTAAACAATATTCAAACACCATGTGTTTACAGAATTATTGGTTATAATCACTTCTATAATTGTCACAAAGCAACTACTGTAAAAAAAAAAACAAAAAAACTTTTTTTTAAAACAAAAATTAAAATGAGTCTTCAGCATTCCCAGTTAGCCAAACAGTTTTTCCAAAGTAATAGCCTTTTTAGTACAAAGCTGCCAAAGCTGCTAGATGGTCTAGTGAGACTCAGAACAAAGTCACACCAGAAACCACTCCTTTCTGTTCTTTGCCTCTTCTGTCCTGTGTCCTAAAGCTACTGTAGGGGTGTAATACAGATGTCTGTTTGTGACAAACTGTTCAAAAGGCAGCCTCCAGCATTAGTTGACTAATCAGTAAATGTGTCAGTCCAGTAGATCCCTCAGATTACTGCTAATGTGATGCAAATCACTTAACAGTTACACAAAGCTCAATTCATCTCAAATTAAAATCCTATTAATTCAATAAAAGGCATATTTATGACCACGCTAGGTCATTAATTTGACTAAAACACATTAGTGTTAGATGATAAAGCATCCAAAGAAGAACACCACATCTGAATCAAATCTGAGACCTGTGGCTGCCTTTAACACTCTCCATCAGAAGAAGCCAAACCGATGTAAACTCTGGTTTTTGCTCTTTCTTTGTTTCGCTCTCTATGTGCAAAAGACCGTGACCTCTTCGGTCTGGCAGCCACTGTTTCGGATGTGGTCTGGTGAGAACTCCTCCATGGCTGACTTTTTGAAATGACTACTCGCAGTTTGAAACATGCTTCTTATAACCTTCTCTAGGTGGCAGGTGGGTCTAATTTATGGACCATACTTTGGCAACAGTAGAAAAGATGGAATAACAACAGAAGGGTTGTAGGCAGCAGAGTGCCATGAAGGGGGTTGTATAGCTAAGAGACACTACACCATGTCCCATTTTCACTTGATTTATCAGACAATGTGTAAAATCTTAATTAATGCACCTTTAAGGATTTCCTTATTGTGCTCATTAGAAAACATCTTGCTCTGCATTACAGTGAAGGCCCAACATCACTCTTGACCAGTGGCAATATATCAAGGTTAATTGTTTGCAACCAAGGCAGTATATGAGAGAAAAACTTGTCTGTTAACGCAGTACAGCAGCCTAAATTTAAGGAAGGAGCCTGAAATGTACATCTGGTGCATGAGAAAGGTGCAGCTCATCTGTGTTATCTGTCTTATGGATTATTAATAAATTAGATTTGTATTTTGTAATCTTGCCTTCCCCATGTGTTCTCCTAGCTGTTGAACTTCCCAGTTCCTGACAGCCATGACAAGTTACAGCAGGGAGTAGGAGGACTCGCTAATGAGACGTCAGAGTTGTCAGCTATCATACTGTAAGACATTCTGTAAAATTGCCCAGTGCATTAAGAGTGACAGTCCTTCTCCTATGGAAAGGGCATTAATTTGCACCTTAAATTTCAGTTTAAATTCCCAGTTTTTGTGCTTAGCTATTAATAAGTCGTTGGACTGTTGATCCATTGACAGTCATGCCATCCAGTGCTACAGCTAGGTGAAATAGTGAGTAAGAGGTTTGACAGATGACACTTCATCGCTCCTTTCCATCAGAGGTCTCTTAAGCGCTGTGTTTAGATGGAGCTTTTTTTCAGAGCAGCAAAATTCAGAAACAAATCCCTCCCATTTAATATCTACCTGATTTTATTTTTTAAGGTAAAAATGTCCTCTCATTAAATACCTTTAATCTACTTAGTTAGCAGTTATAAACAACCACCTGTACAATCTACCAAAATCAAATGCAACAGCCTTGCAATAAATCCTTTGTGCAATGTTCAGTTTTTGTTGACATTGTGTCAGGGCGATGTACTGCATTATATTGAGAGGTTTTGGACACTGTAGTGATTTGAAATGGCCCAGCTTCATTGTACAGGAGCCTGTATGTTGTTTCTGAGGCATGCTTAGTGTACAAGTATGATTCCCTATGGATAGCACACCAGAAGATAAGGGGAACAGAAAATAGTTTCATCAACTTTTGATAAGTCAATTCTCAAAGAAACCCCCAATTGACAACACTGATATACTGATAATAAATCTGTGTCTGTTGCCGATCTGAACACAGACGGACTTTCACAAAGCCAGTGAATCACAGCGGTATAAAACCTAATATTGATTTCTTTTTTCTTTTACCTTCAGTTTTATTCTTGATTGAGCAGGAGTCATGCTGGTACAAAGATCACAGCAGCTCAGCTACTCTACCTGCAGATAACAATATAGAAAAACAAACTGAGGAAAAATACAAAGAGAAAACTGAGGACAAAAATTTTTATTAAAGAACAAAAGCGTATGTTGTAGATATGCACGTGTCGAGACTGTTGGATAAGGGTGGTAAATGTGAAAGACCAATGAGAAATAAATGGAAAGGCCTTGAGAAATATTGGACACTGAAAAAGAAAAATAGAAAGGAAGAAGGGGAGCACACAGTGAAAGCAGAAACAGTTAGGTTTAAAGTGAAGGTTGAGATTGAATGTTGAGAGGCACAACCTGGATTAAGTGGAATAAATGTTAGAGCAGACTTTCACTATAGGGGGTTTGAAAGGAGAAAAACCTAAATTTAGAAAAGATAGAGATCAACTAAAGGTTGCAAGAAAATAAAGCAAAGAAATGAACCTTAAAGAGGCCATGGCATGCTCATTTCCAGCCATTTAATGTTTAGTTGTGGGTACCTCTAGATTAGCTTTGCAAACATTAACAGGCATGCAACATGTGGTTTTTTTAAAAACTTACCATTACGTCCCACCGAGTAGTGGAAACTTCAAGGCCGGTAAATCCAACTGGTGATCGCTGTGTCTTCCCCCACAAATCCCTTGTATTACAGGCGACCACATACATTCCCAATAGGTAGCCTTGCACCAGCAATAACATCATGGATGGTTGGAATCTTCTCGCCAATCCGCAACACATCACATGCAGCCGACACACTGGCCTGAAACCAGTTAAAACAAACAAGTACTGTGCTTCAGGGGGAATCCAGCATTGATCAGCTGATCATTCACCGCCCCAGAGTGCTTCACTGACCGACTGATTGTAGGTTTCCAACCACTCCATTCACGCCACAATAGACCCGGTCAGGTAAAACAGCGAGTCCCTGTACATGAACATTCCCAGACGTGCAGCAACCTCAGGCCCTGTATTTTTCTCCACACCTTCTGGTCACAGTTCAGGCAACAGGAAGTAAAATAGATCTATAAAACTGCCTGCAGTCGAAACATCGTGTTTTTCGAATGGCACCAATGGATGTCAGGCAAGCTCTCATGAACGTGCACTGCCCGGAGATTATGACCACTCAAGGAAATCCGTATTACATAAGACTTTCCATAGCTGGGGAAAAAGAGTTTGCGGGACCTGTATAAACCGAATTGCTTCTGCATAGAAGCACAACAACACAGTGTTTTGACCTTTCAGTCACGGTTAACATGAGAATTCATTTTTAGAAAAAATATGAGTAGTCAAGAGAAGAAAAAAGAGCAAGTAAATAAATGTGATGGCAAACACGAGTGGAGAAAGTTATGAAGAAGAGGACATTAAAGAACAAAGGGGGATGCAGTAATAATGGGGAGATGGGGGAATGAACACTTGTGAGAGAGAAAGATGGAGAAGAAACAGCCAGTGAGTGTTGGAGGTATAAAAAGTGAGAATGGAAGGATTAATGGATACAGTTAGGATCGAAGTAGTTATAGAGGAAGGGTTAGAGATGGACAGAGGATGAAAGGATGTAGAGAGAGAAAGAGAGTGTGGGTCCCTCGGCAGTCAACACTAATGAAGAAGAATGAGGGGCCTCAGCTGCTCACTGGTCCTGCTACAGTACTGACCACACAGAGAGAGAAAGTTTTGCACATACATAAGTATGCACTCCTCAAGTTATGACACAGAAGCCATGAAGCGAACAAGCAGTTGAACTCCACATTCACCTCATTGCTATGCGTGAATAAATATTACTAAATGTCTTGTAGGTTTCTTTAAACTAGGCCTAATTAAGGACTAGTTTTTTCGGTTTTTACATTTGTTCTGAGAGAAACTGAGCCATGGGAGTTTCGCACCAAGCTTCTATATTAGTGTAGGTTCCTTTAATTAGGGCTAAAGTCTTGCAGTGTTTTTTATATCCTCCTCCAAAAAAACATAACTTTTCTATTAACTTGATGTACCATGGTACAGATAACACTTTTTGTCCTTTGACATTCTATTTATGACTCTGTGCTTTAACCACTGTGACTTTCGGCCCACTAGCAAAAACAGGTTTGAAACGTACAAGGAAAATACATTTTTAGTAGCTTTCCACTATTTTTGCAAATGGGTTGAATTGACTTTAAAAGGTGGCATTGATTTGGAGTACTTTTTTTGTCAGATTCATGTTTTTCTTCTGCTCTCAGTTGAACATCTGTTTGTGCTCCATTAGCTGTGACTGCCTGCAGACAAGAGGAAAAAATATCTTAAGGAATCCCTGAACTTTATTTCCACCTTAGTTCACAGTTTTGAACAAAAGTTAATAAAGACTCTCTACAACATAGTAATGTAATTCATAGTGCAGTGATGGAGTTCTTTTGACCAAAAGTTTTATTTTCCATCTAGCATATTTTTAATTCTTGAGGTTGAAGACAGAAGTAGTAGTAAACGTACTTTGGGCAGGTGTGGTCATCCAAGGATATAAGTGCTTTTCTGCAGTTTGTGCCAAGCACAGGAAATTGTTCAGTGGTAAAGTCTGAGATTTTGGCAGGAGCCAACGTACTGTAATATAAAGAAAACAACAGATGTGGTAAAATTATTTAAAAAAAAAAAAAAGTTTCACACAAATTACACACAAATTAGCATTTGTGTGTAATTTGTTCAGATAAGTTTAAATGAAGTTTTACTTTGGCTCTAACTTTTTTTATATGTGCTGGTGAATCCAAAATGCTTCCACACATTACTTCTCAAGTGGTTTGGTGTCATGATGATTTGTTTAGTTTCCTCCACTGAGCATTTACAAAGAGAACAGTTACCTACTTTCCTGTGACAGTGCATAAATACATACTGTATGTACACTGTGAAGTTTGAATTCAGTTTATTCATTATAAATTGTATATTTTCCCAGTGTTCAGTTTGTAATCACAACTCCAGGACGATGATGCTTTGACAGGCTTCACACAGCGTAGACGTAGACAGACTGAGACTGAGCTGCAACTAAACCCACAACAAAAAGGAGGCAAGTTCTTCAAGATGCTCGGAGCAACCTGTCTGCCAACCAGTTTGAAAATTTGTGTGCAACTGTACCGACAGGAATTAGTGCTGTTTAGGAGGCAAAGGATGATCACACCAAATATTTTTTTGATGAAATATTTTATTACTTTTTAAAACTTCTCACTCTGCATTCTTTTTTCACAAGTACCTAAGACTTTTGCACAGGACCAATAATAATTTGGAGCTTTTGACAAATCAACATGTTGACCTTCAGTTCTGTTATTTTCTTCCTGCTACTCCCTTCTTTTCTTTCGTGAAGTGAAGTACTGTAATTAAGCCCTGGGAGAAGTATGGCTTGTTTTGCTCATGTTGTAACATTTTCAACTCAATGATGACCCAGCCAGGATACACAAATCAAAACTATTAACCAGGAATGATTGGGCCATTCCGCACTCCACAGTGAGCTGGCTCAGCTGGCCTTAAACAAATGATTGTGTTGCAATCTAGGCGTAATCACTGATTTTTCCACACGGAACCATGCTGCCTGTAGTTTGGGGCGTTTGCCATGGGAGCTCTGTATAGATGATGAAACTGTGAGTGTTCAGGATGGTAATATTGTGCTTTCCACTGGAACCAGAGCTGTCATGATTTATCTGAAGTGTGGTTGACTTTTACAGGCTGATGTTGGTCAAAAATATAATGAAGGCCACTGGAGCTGGATGTAGTGCAAGAGAAAAAAAGTGCTCAGTATTTATTTGCATATGTTTCTTTGTTGCTCTACATTTCATTTATGACTTTTGCTGTCACAATTTTGTACAGAAATATCAAATAGTACTAATTTAACTGCTTAGACCTGTGTGTTTCCTGAACTCTGCTTTAAGAGTATGTTTGTACCTTGTGGCATTTTAACTGTATGACCTTTGAGTGCGTTTTTGTGCATCTGTGCAATGCCAAGTTTCTTACTGAAAAACTGCCACATTTGCTATCAGGAATGGAGGGATGGAGTTCAGGACAGGTGTTAATGTTGGTGTAAACACACACACGCGCGCACACACACACATTCACAACAGGACATGAGACTGTGATTGATATGAACCTGTGAGTCCAGTTTGAAGAGAAAAGAAAGACTTGAATGTAGCTGGCATATTGTTCTTACTTTGGCATTTTATTTCAACCCAGTCTCACAGCAAATCGGGAAGCTACATTGGTCCACAATTCAGAACATACTACTCTCACAATAACACATAGAAAAATGTGACATTGAATCAAAAATTGAAACCGAAAGTTCACTGAAACTATGCTACATGGTTACCTTTAGGAACACAATCTAGATGGTTACGGTCAGGAAACGGCCCCTGGGGTTGGTTAAAATTTTTGAAAACGTGCAAAACACAATGTCAGCCATGGGACACGATCTCCGGTTCTCCGCATGAAAGTCAGGTGTTGGTTTGATCCGCCTACCACCTTTTAGTGGTTTTAACATTATGAAGTTCTAAATTGTACACTTTCAACAGACACTGCATACAATGTTAGCTTCACAATTCACACTCCAGTCCTGTTGGTGGCAGTAATGCTTCATTTCCTTGTTTGACAGCCACCATAAAACACCAAGAAGACCACAAAGAAGGACGTGTCATAAATTTAAAGCTGTTACTGTAACACTACGATGTGTTACGCTGTGGACCAATGTAGCTATTATGCATTTTGCTGTGAGACCGGGCTGTTTATTTCTTTGCAAATAACATCATTGATTTCTGGCACATGTAATCATAGTCTCCCTGACCTGTCCATATGTCAACCACCTCACTATTTCTGTGTGGCTATTTTGGCATTCATTCATGCATTTATGGCCAAGTACGCATGCATCATTGCCCAGTGTTTGTAGAAAGGTTTTTCAGTTGGTTTATCTGAATGTGTCAGTTTTTGCTTTAGTCTCCATTTTATCTATCTTTAATGAATCTTCCTTCATGTGTCAATTTTGTTTTTCTGCCTGTGCTTCCTTTAAACCAACACCTTTCATCTACAGTAGCTTCTACATCTTTTTATGGCTTTGTCTACTCCTCTTTTTGTCTCTGTTTTATTGTCTTGCCTCCTATCTGTTTTGCTTGTTCTAAAGCCTCTTTCTTTTTCTCAGTCGCTTCCTTCATTTCTCACTGCCAGCTCCACAGTTGACTTATTGATTTCATTTTCATACTGTTGGCAGTTGTTCTCTTCCATCATAAACCATCAGCGTTGCCTCCTTTTAAGTTGGCATTGATCATTGTACTGCTGATCACAACCAGTCACCACTGAGCATCATTATCTGCTCTTGCTCTTTCTCCTTTGTTGCTCTCCTGTCTTGTATTGTGTGCTCTGTGGGTTATATTTCTAATATAGCTATTCAGCACATCAGTGAAATAATAGCCCTGTACATCTTGCTATTTAGGCAATGACTTGGGCTTCTCTTTTTTCCCTCAAACTGTTGGGTGTTGTTAAAAAAAAGGCTCATTCAGTTAGAAAACTTGGGCTTTAGAAGTAACCTGCATTCCAAAACTTTCATAAGAAATCATAACCTCGGTCTTCTTGTTTAAGAGAAGTGAACCGTTTTCCATTCATGTATGTGTCTGTGGTTGGGAGTTGACTTTACTCAGTTTATATCAAGTGTGTGATATATTTCATATAGATGTGTGTACTGGACTTGACTTAAGTACTGACATGTATACCATGGACATCACCACTTCCTTCCACTATGCAAAAATGAAGCCAAAATATTGTGAATATGGCGGCTGCCATTTTGCTTTTTTGCAACACAGTAGTTGGTGACCAGAAGTGGAGTGACGGCATCAGGCTGCCAATCAAAGTTGTCAAATCAACCAAAATACACCTCTTTTTGTATCATTACATTACTTATTAAAAACAAATTTACCAGAAAATGACCACTTGTACACACATTAGTTTGTTAATAACTACAAAAAAAAAAAAAAAAAACACAGAATTGGCCTCTGGAGAAAAATCTTGATTTGTACTTTGAGTTTGTAATTTGGTTCATATCCCTCCCTGACAGGGGGGAGGTGGGATTTATGGCCTATACTGCAACCAGTATAGGTGGCATTACTTTTGGAAGCTGTCATGACATCCATTTTTTATACAGTGGATGGCCATTAGTCAGTAGTTGCAGTTGTCCCAAAAAGATTAAAATCTGTGTTGAACATTCATTTAATTAAATCTTTATGAGAATTTAAAAATCTAGATTTTAAAGAAGAATCTGTGAATTTCAAAGTATTTTTCCAAGGTGTCAGGAAAATATAAGCCAGATTTTTAATACTGACATCAAATGAATAGTGGGTATTGCAGTTTTCTTATAATGTTTTGGAACTGGGGTTCCCAAACGTTTTCAGCTTGAGACCCAAAAAGAAATGTGGTCTCTCTCCAGGACCCAAACTTAGAAAAATACATCATGGATTGCTACAACATCTGTGTTTGTAAACTACCAATAATGAGCACAACAACCCCTGAATTTAAAATGTAGCCTATATTAAATATATTTATCTCATTATTCTCAGGAACTTCATTAATTCATTAATCCTGTGATGTACTTTGATAACGTTACATTTCTTACCATCTTATAACAAACTTGTATGAAACGAACATCACTGGGGCTGTTGACAGTAATGTTATATTCATTACATTCAGAATGAACAGACCATCCTTATCATAGGTAGCTACAGGTGTGGTGTAATATGCAGCTTACATGCCTGTCGTTTTATTTCATGTGTAGTCCAACCTGATCATACTCAGTGATCCACAGAGCTCTAATTTACTTCAGCCACCCAGTAACTTTCAGTAGAATGTAGAGTCTGTGCTGTTCCCTGTCCCTCCTTCTTCCTCTCCTTCTTTTTCAGTATGTTTACAGTCAGTCCCAGTCTCATTATTTTATAAAAGGGAGAAGACGAATTTTCACATATTTGAGCCATTTACACTGACATTTTTGCTTTTGACATTTCTTTGCAGAGCTTTAGCATTAACTTTACCATTCTGACTGCTGTAATCGTTCCTGCACTGACTGCACTCAGTGGCCACTTAACCTGAAGTGATTAGACGACGGTGGATCGAGCAGCTCTACGATAATTGCAGCAAACTTTCAGCAACACAGATCCTCCCTTGTGCACTGATCTGTCTGATGTTCCTGGCCCTTCATTACTTTGCTCATCATCACACGCAGCAGCTGTTTATAGTCCGAGGTTTAGCCTACTCTTTATGGTACCTGGTTCGTTAGCTGCTTTTGCGCACTCAGCATCAGCCAACAAGGCCGTTTTCTTGTTCTGTCACTCCTTTTCTGCACCGCCGGTCACAGGTTTTCTATCTCTTCAAGTTTCATTTGCTACCACATCAACTTTGCAGATGTGCAGGCAGCAGCTCTCAGAGCTGTTAAAGCTTGCGCCAGCAGTGTGGCTACAGCTGTTGAATAGCTGTTATCTGTATAGGCTGTAAAAGATCCTATCTAAGTGGCTTAGGAGAAAAGAAACTCGGGAGTTCAGGCCAGACGCGGCCTGCTGAGATCAGGTTGAGAGAGAGAGAGAGAGAGAGAGCCTGGCACACAGCATCTGAACTAAGCACACCTGCTGCCCACATAGAAAAAAGAGCTCTCTTCTTCTAGTTTGATTTGGAAAATGAATTCATATATTACAGCATTGCTGTGCATTTTACTCTGCCAACTGGTGACCCAATAAACACAGATCCTGGACCCAAAATGGGTCAAGACCCTAAGCTTGGGAAAGGCTGTAAATATAGCATTTAACATTGTATGTCATAAAATTGCAATTAGAATAATATTAAACATTATTTGACAGTTGGTGCTGTAGCTGATGTTACACAAAAAGTACTACTCAGTCTGTTAAAAACTCTTGTGGCTTTGAAAAAAAAAAAAAAGACGACATCTTCAACTGTGTTTGAGAATTTTTGGAAAAGTAATTATGGGAGCAGGGGAATTATAATGAAAGACACTATGTAGAGCATAATAGGAATTATGTAATTCCAGTGTTTATGTATGTTCACCCATTCAAGTAACTCCCGTGAGTCCCCGGACATTACTAAAGTGTAATTCTAAATCAGTGGAATGCCATTTTAAAACAATGGAAAGAAGTGTTATGTCACAAATAGTCCTGCGCTTTTCGTTTGTTTAGCCCAGTATCACAAATCACATATTTGCATCAAGGGGCTTTACAGTGTGTAGAACATGCGACAGTGCTGTGTAAACTTAGTTTGGCAGTGCTTGTCTAAATGTGTTATACCACTGTGGGGGTCCCATTTGTGTGCATTGTGTTAACATGTTTTTGTGCTGTGTGGCTGCTCTGCCAAGCATCTTCCTTGAATAAGAACAAGTAATGGGCATACTTGCATACTCTTAGCCACTGTTTTGTTATACACAGAACTTTCTCTTACTTTTTTTTTTTTTCTTTGAGAGAAATAACACTTGCTGGGTCTCTAAATGCCACCTGTCTTTCTTTTCCTGTCCTTCTCCCACTCGCCCTCCCTCTTCTGTATTCCCCTTTCCCTGTCTTTTGTTGCACTGCA